ATTTAATTTCTTTGATAACTCTCAATCCAGTTATCTAATTGGTCTCAAATTTGGATAGGGTACACTATGGTGTGTTACCTATATGCCATAAAAGTTTTAACTAATTTAATAGCTAGATTCTGGTAAATTTAATTTTTAAAATTTTTTGTCAAATTTTGACCCATAACTTTGACAATTTATATTGCACACATCACTTAGAACTAGGCTTGAATTTCTCTCTAGTATGTGTAATATAGTATCAGGGTTAGATGACCAATGTTTCAACCCCAATTAAATATTAGTGACACTTAGGAAAAATAATTAAGGATCATTTCTTGATAATTTAGAAAAATCCTAGGAAATTTTACACACACTCAATAAGGGTGAAACTATAGAAAATTAAATTTAGTGACATTATAAACCTTAGGTTCAAATTTCACCCAATTCGGAGCTCATTAAGTCAAGAAATTAATCAAGTTAAAATTAACCTTTAAATTAAGCCTAACAATTTCAAAAATTCTAATAAATCAAATTTAAATAAAAAATATATATATATAATACCTCTAACTGAAAATAATTTAAATTATAAAAAATTTCCAGACACTTGAGAATCTTTTCTATTTTCATTCCTAGCCTTTGGAGAGGATTTCAAGAAGTTTGGAGTTCATTTGGAGCAAAATCATAAAAAACCCATTCTAATTAAATAATTTTAAAAATTTTAAAAATGACAAACTTTAAAAAATCATAACTAATTCCAGAAAATTGAAAATTGAGCAAATTCAAAGGAATTCAACTCATATGGAAATCTAATATTTATTAAAAATATAAAATCTCTAGAAATAATTCATATTTAAAAAATTCAACTTTTGGTCAAATCTTAAGTCAAAATCAAGTCAAAACTTCAAACCATCATCATTAAATATAAAAAATCTAAATCCAGCAAACTTAGAATCTAACAACTCATTTTAAGGTCTAATATTTTATAAAAATACTAAATTTCTAAATATCACTTTTAAATAAAAAGTTAATTTTTAACCCCTTAATTAAATGATTAAAATAATCCAAAAAATTCTTAAAATTCAAAATTCACTTTAAAATTTCAAAAATCTTCAATTAAACTTAAAACCAGCAATCAACAAACTTTAATTAAAATTAATTAACTTTTAAACCTTAATCAAATTAAATTACATAATTATACTAGTTATCATTAGGTAATCGAGGCCTACGAAGCTATTAAATTTGCCCCAAGGATTGTGAAACAAATTTCATGACCTCAGTGAGCAACAAAAGTGGTAATCAATAACCTTTAAAATTAACTTTAAGCAATTAATACTTAAATTTAAACTTAAATCTCTTAAGCCTTTCAACCAACCAGAACATCAAACAACTTTAACAAATTACCCTCCATATGACATATCCAAACCACACGGCATACTTCACACACTTCAGATGATTTTCTAGGAGAACCAACTCTAGTTTTAGGCTAGTATGGTGTTTACTTTTATGTTGTATGTCGGGTTTTTGAGCTTTCATTATATGCTGTTTAATGATGTTGATGTGATTATTTACTTAACTTTTTTGTACTCTGCAATGTGATTGGATTGCACGTTAGATCTACCCCTAGGTTAGGAATGATTTATATTAATTTAATCTTATGCATGTGGTAAAGCTCAAACAGGGCATTGATTAAAGGGGGCCTAAATTAAGCTTTAATATTAATAATGTTTTTTGTAGGAGCTTCAAATTGTATAAGTCCCCCTTTAATATAAAAAGAGCATGGCCAAGTGTGACTATTATTTGAGCATTTTAAATTTAAAATATTAACTACTTTGGATATCAAATTAATTGTTGAAAATTAGGATAACCATGCAGGTGATCCAAGTCTAAATTTTTCTTTTAAATTGAAATGTAATTTGATCTATTTGAGTTGTAAATGTCAAGTGATTTGAGATGGGATATTTATATCCAACTTGGATTTCAAAGAGGAGAAGACATCCTTAAAGGGGATAGTCTTTCTCCATTTGGAAGATCAAGTAAGGATATCTTTAAAACATCCAAAGAGAAAAGATAACACCCCTTTCAAGGAGGAGCTTCTCTTTATTTTAATATCTATGTCAACGATCCAAGGAGTTGTAGAAGAATGAAGAAGTGGATAATGAGAAGAATCCCAAATCTCAAAGTCACTTGTGTCTTAGGAGAAGAATCCGGGTTGTTGTCAGTGGTACCCAACCACTTTACTTTTCTGTAATTCTGAGATGTAATATTAAGTGGCACTTGCCATATGGACTTTAAAATTGATATTAATTTAATTTTATTTATTTATTTATTAATTGATATGTTGATTGTGATTAGGATTTGCCTACTTTTCTTAGTTTTTTTATTTAGTCTGGAACCCGATCGAAAGCTCATGAGGGTAAGATAAAAATTCTTCTATTCAAATTAAATTAAAAATTTTAGCTTAGATAAAAACTCTAATTATCCTAAGAAGTAAGCTCGAACTTGCCGAGGGTTTTTCATGCATCATATTATAACTTCTCTACCTCGTTAGGCACCTCTCATGCTGTAGATTTTGGTAGACTACTTAACCTATGATGGTGCATATATGTCAAGGGGATATTATGCAATCTCTAGAGAAAAACCTATTTTTAAGCCAAATATTTAAACTGCTTCAATTTCATTCATGCATTCAATCGAGTCAACTAGTATGCATCACATTACTAACAAATTTAAAAGAGTCTGATATAAATTTGCATTTACTTTGACATCAAATACCCAACATATGTTAAGGGGCCAATTAGGAATCTGCTATAGATGTCAGCCCCGATTTCCTTAAACTCAATCTAATTAACATCCTTAACCACTCTTTCATTAATGACCAGACTTATAGTTTTGAAGCTCCTAGGTGGTTTAACTGGCTCCCCAATCTAGGATGGGGTAAGTCAAGATTTGCATTATATTAGTTAGGTTCAGATCTCTAGTTTTTAGTACCTACTTTAGACTTAGTTTCTGAGTCAATATCAGGCAATAAGAACTCAACCTCTAGAAATTGAATCCCAAACTTATAATAAAATTGATCATTCAAACTAAAATCTCTTTAAATCAAATTCAAGCCCAACACTTAGGATAGGCTGAGGTGTTTCTGAAATAATTTAGAATCTCAAAACACCTCCTACCCTTCTTCCATTGAATCCAGAAATAAGTGCTCCATTTTGATCCATTCCTGAATAAAAATTATAATCCTTACCTCCTTTGACATCAATCTTTGAAATCTTAAATGAAATTTCTACTGTTATTTTAACTGAGAGTATTCATAGGAAATTCTGGTTTCCTATGATGTAATTGAAAGTTCTTAAGAAAGATGTTAAGCCCTTAAGAACTAGCCCGAGGCTAACCAAGAGGGGGTGAATTGGTATTTTAAAAAATCTTTCTTAAGAAAAGAATAAAACTAAAATAAAAACAATTCACCACAAAGAGTAATGGATGCAGAAATTAAATACGGAAATAGAATAAAGAATGATCACACATGATTTATAGTGGTCCGGTCAAATCTTGACCTTCGTCCACTTCTCAGAGGCACCCACCGAGTATTGCACTAACTAAGTGTCTCTCCTTTAGCTCCCATAGCTAGGCGCAGAAGCCTTTACAACAGACTCTTTTTCACCAACCCCGGTGTGGTAGAGAATCGTCTCCTTTTGCTTCCTCCTAAAGCGGGCAGAGAATTGACTCCTTTTGCTTCCTCCTAAAGTGGGCAGAGAACCCGGACCATTTACTGAAGTAGAACTCCCAATAACCTCCCAAGGATGAAGGATGAAGAATGGAGAAGACGACTTGGTACCTTGGAGCAACCTTTATGATCCCTCTCACAAACTCCCCCTCACAAGTTTCTCTCTCCCTCTCCCTATGCTCTCTCAGGTCAAGACAGCAGCACTCAAGGTCATTTGCATGAGAAGATTTGAGACCTTTAAATAGAATTTCAAGAACTGACATTATCATCCAGGATGATATTTCTATCGTCTTTGATGGTGTTAGAAGAGACTAT